TCAATAAAAAGATCACAACAGTCATTATGCTAGCCTATACTGCTTTTCTTTTTAATTGTAAGGAAGGTAACGTGCATTGTACATGTAACTACAGTTGGTGGTTATCTAGCTAATTTTCATAAGCACCTAGCTAACCACAGATCTTTGACCTAGCCAAAATAGCTTGTTAGCAGCTATCAAACAGGGCTTACCTTATCACATGGCTCCTACAACACATCTCGCTTACAGAGGTCTGAAAATGATCAAATGCACGTGTGCTTATCGGAGTAGTGGTTACAATCCGGTACATAGCACAGAACCATTCTTGCTTCTAATCTACGGAGACCTAAGGTTAGCTAGTTATCTACAAAAGGTCAGGGTAAGAAAAAAATATATAGTAAGAAAAAAATGCTAATATAGTTAATTTGAAAGATGCTAAACAACAATACACATGAGAAATACACAATATACATTATTTAAACGAGAAACTACAAAAAGGCGATGACATCTACTAGTTATTCTTTACTTGCTAGTTGTTGCTGATAGTTTGCATGGAGAAATGTGGAGGTTTTTCCCACCCTGCAACACTGCCTTGAGGGATGAAGTCAAAGCTTGCGACAGGATGTGTAGTTCTGTATGATAGCCACATTAACGGATAATTAGCATTTCATTTTGGGGGGAAATTACAGGCTATTATATATTGATAAAAGTTACCTTGTCCGAAAGAGATTTACGTTGTTATCAAAACGTCAAGCCAGGTAGTCAGTGTTGCCAACTCCTCAGTAAGGAAAGTAGCTATTGGCTGTCCTAATAGTCGCTAGAAATCGCTAAATGACGTCATGCATTTGCATAATTGGCCATGTGCATGTAATTGTGATGGACCCTGTAGGAGAGAGGAATAATGTCATGGGAGACAAAAAGTGAGTAAAAAACTCCCTACATTTACATCCCGCCTTGAATGTAAGCCAGGGCGGGATCAGCGAGCGGCGGCTTCCCGCATGAGCGATTCATTTGCAGTCTGGACACGGAGGGGTGAACATCTCCTGCTCTGACTGCAGATGGGAGGGACTGCTGCGGGACGGGGGTAACAAAGCACCCACTGCTCGTTGAGAAGAGTAAGAACGATACGTGCTTTCACGTCAGAGTTTCCAAAAGTCTCCAATAACACCAGAAAAAGTCGCTAGATTTGTCGCTAGTCACTTTTTTGAAATTGTGTCGCTAGAGGGGTCTGAAAACTCGCTAAATATAGCGACAAAGTCGCTAAGTTGGCAACACTGGTAAGCCTACACGAAACACAGACCTTATATGAAGTCGTTCTAAAATGTATGGTGGAAAAACGATTGGGAACCGTTTCCTTCTTCTTCTTCTTCTTCTTCTTCTTCAAAGAGGTTTAACGGCGGTTGGCATCCAATTTGTTGCATTACCGCCACCTACTAGATATTTTGGTTGAAAAATAAAAGAAAGAAATACTCTACCATCTAACTCACAAATTCAAAATTATTATTAATAATTAACACCACCCTTCTCCACTATTTAAATATATTCATTCCTACCTCATGCCCTCAACCTGAAATGATGGGACATCACCACTTAACACTCCCTGTAACTCTTCTGATGTCAAGTCTCTCACACCCAAATACCTCTCTGTAGTTGCCACCACAACCTCAATTTTCTTCGACTTACGTGAAGGGATGGACCCTGCAGTACAATTAATAACCATTGCTATAAACACAAAAAATCCAATCTTACTGAAACATATATTACTTGTTGGTCTATCCCTCTGTACTGGTACATATCTACTAATCTCACCACTCCTTTTCTTGAGAGTGAAACAATTCACAATTCTTTCCCCCATTTGTTTAACTCTGAGCGCCTTCTCCCTCTGCCCAACAGAAACACAAACACTTATCACTAGACCACTTCTGGTTACCCTCATCGATTCCACTATATGGAACCATTTCCGTGTTTGACCGCTAGGTTTTATGGGTATTATGACTCATACTGTGGTACTCAATGACACGTAACTGTCATAGCTATCTTGCCAGCTAATTTAGCTCATCAATCAGTATTTTCTTTGCTATTTCTGCACGATTGCACTTATTAAAGCCTTGAATCTCATAGGGACCTCACTGTCACCACTGCTCATCTAGCCAGCCATTAGCCAGCAGGGTTGCACCGGTTTCCATTGGACTAGAGTTTGCTAGGGTGACTAGCTAACTCGAGCTGATTATCATGTAGCAGAGTATGCTGACTAGAGTCACTAGCATGCTAACATTAGCTAGCTAGCTAATGTCGATACCACATAGTCGTGGGTCCGTAAAATCAAGAAGATTGTGTCTCCCGAGTGGCGCAGAGATCCTGGTTCGAATCCAGGCTCTGTCGTAGCCGGCCGCGACCGGGAGACCCATCGGGCCGCGCACAATTGGCGTCGTCCAGGGTAGGGGAGGGAATGGCCGGCAGGGATGTAGTTCAGTTGGTAGAGCATGGCGTTTGCAACGCCAGGGTTGTGGGTTCGATTCCCACGGGGGGCCAGTATGAAAAATACAAAAAATAATGTATGCACTCACTAACTGTAAGTCGCTCTGGATAAGAGCGTCTGCTAAATGACTCAAATGTTAAATGTAAATTGTACTGAACTCGTGACAAAATCATGTTTTGACATTGTAGTGGCTATTGATGTTTTGGTTATTTGCTTTTTGCTTAGTGACATTGCGAATATAATCTTTTTGGCATTTAATCCGGTTTTGGCATGAAAAAAATGACAGAAATCGCAAATTCCCATGAGATACTTCGATAATTTGTGCACCCACGGATACGGAGCCTCAGAAATAAGAGATCTGGTCACGGATTAGGAGCCACTCCGTAATATTCTGTTGCAATTTTCAGTTGGCTCCTCTTGACTATATTATTGTGATGAAAACATATCTGACCTTGTGGTCCTCTGTAGCTCAGCTGGTAGAGCACGGCGCTTGTAACGCCAAGGTAGTGGGTTCGATCCCCGGGACCACCCATACACAAAAATGTATGCACGCATGACTGTAAGTCGCTTTGGATAAAAGCGTCTGCTAAATGGCATATTATTATTATTTATTATGTCTGTGGCTTTAGCCTACCTGTTCTAGCTGGGGCCCTTCTGGCGTACATCACGAAAGGAAAATAAATTGAAGGGGATTGATTTACATGGGGGAAATGTTTGTTACTTAGCCTACATCAGATAGAAATGCAATGAATAGAGCTGATGTGCGACCTTATTCTACATGTCAGAGAGGCATGTTTGTTCTACATAGTGTATTTCTATCTGAACTTTCCAAAACGTTGTGTCCTGCTGAACACGCCCCACACTGGAAGTACAGAAAATCATTTAAAGATGCACTAGGCAGAAATTGTGTCACCATTTCCTGGTTGGTCAAATTAAAATAGTTCGCCTAATTTCAGTTTATGTGACAAAAACAAGCAAGTATAGTGTAGAGAATCATTGTACCATCTAAACCGCTGTGAACTATCTTTTCCATAACCAAAGATATTGTATTTTCAGCTGTTTGAAGCTGCTGTACAAAACCGAAAGTAAAAGACGCAAAAACGAAACTTAAGAACAGGAAACATAGAAATAGAGCACATAAAATAGATCTGCCACTTCTTATAGACTTGCTTTCAATGAGAATGACAAATCTATAACACACATTTCTATGTGAATTTGGTTGGTCACTCAAAAAGTTACATATTGCAGCTTTAACTGCTTCCCTGTTGTTAATTAAGTACAATGTTAATTCAAAGTTAATTCATTCATTCAGACTATTTATCACTTACTAAACATATTTGATGATAATGAAGTAAGTTTTGACATGAGTTGGTTCTCTTTAACTTTTGACCAATTTTAAAACAGTTTGTGACGTTGATGCTGCTGTATTCAAGATGTCTCCCAAACATAGAGAATGATAGAGTCCTCTAGTGGCCAAAAGGCAATTATCCCATGGGCAGCGCCATTGAGGGCTTCCACCATGCTTCCGCCCTTTTAATGTCGTCACAGTAGTCAACTGGGTGGGGATTCCTATGGGTTGTAGACTCAATGTCGCTGCCACAGACGTTATAATGGCACAGATATAAAGATGAGTCCTCTATCTATCTCTATGCCCACATAGAGACGATAGGATTATGGTTTAGCTTGCGAATTAGTTTTATTTTAGATTGTTTCTTTTCTTTTTTGTTTTCCTTTAATTTTGTGTTTTGGACAGATTATTAGATGGAGAACGGTGTTTTATCATGAAACTCCAGACTCAGTATGACAGGTATTTTAAGCATTTCTACTTGCATTGCTAATGAAATGTCATAACAACGGTAGCCTAGCTAGCTGCTAACGTTAGCAAAGTTCTGTCACCCGAAATCTAACAGTAATTAGCTAACTAACTGCCATCACTCTCGTTCATCCACCCCTCCTCTCCCATTTAACTATTCCCCATGTCGTTGTTGTAAATATGTGTTTTCAGTCAATTTACCTAGAAAAGTAAGGGTACTGTATTTGTATCATGTCATCAGTGCCAACACGGCCAACAACCTCTTATTTATCTTATATTTGTCAAAAAGCTGTCAATTGTAATGTTGATCTGACAGCTTGCCATAGTTAACGACACAGTTAACGTTAGTTAGCTGTTTCGCTAGCTACTAACGTACGTTAGTTAGCTAACTGTCACTCCCTAAATGTAAACAAAAGAGAAAACAGTTGCTAGATAGACAAGTACAAAAGTGTGTATTGATATTGGTGAAAACACCTTCCTGAATCTCTGACTGTCATTTAGCCAGCCAAGTAACATTACTAGGCTGCATCACAATATTTGTTTATGCTGTCAACAACCTGTAAGTTACTGTAGCTAGGCCTAGCTAGCGAACTTAGCTAGAAAACGTTAGCCAGATTGTTAGCTAACATCTGCACATTATAACCACGCTATCCTCTTAACCTCTAACACTTTATTTGTTGAAGGAGTGATTCCAAAAGAACGTTGAAATCGAGGGAATCACCAACTGTGATGCAGCCTAACTCCAGCGAGCTGGGTGCTCATCAGGCAGGACATGGTTTGTCCCTGACATTACTGCCAGAACTACTGACCAGGACACCAGCAGGGGCTACCGGGGGCTCTGCTATCCCGGAGACTAGTGGAGAGGTCCGGGTACCTATCCTCTCCAGCGGGCCCTGGGAGTCATGTAGAGGAGGGGCGTCATCCCGTAGGTCCAGAGCCAGTTCCAGAACCAGTTCCCACAGCCACTCCCATTCACATGGTGGGGGACACCAGCACTCCCACAGTGAGGCGGACCCGGCTGATGCTGATCTGGAGTCAGGGGAGCCCAGCACCTCATTCTCAGAGCTGCGCTACCTCTTCCGCTGGGTTCAGAAGAGTCTTCCTTTCATAATCATCCTCTGTGCTAAACTGGTCATCCAACATGCCCAAGGTAGGTGTCGGGTAACAGTAACATACAGTTGAAGTCGGAAGTTTACATACACTTAGGTTGGAGTCATTCAAACTTGTTTTTCAACCACTCCACAACTTTCTTGTTAACAAACTATAGTTTTGGCAAGTCGGTTAGGACATCTACTTCGTGCATGACACAAGTAATTTTTCCAACAATTGTTTACAGACAGATGATTTCACTTATAATTCACTGTATCACAATTCCAGTGGGTCAGAAGTTTACATACACTAAGTTGACTGTGCCTTTAAACAGCTTGGAAAATTCCAGAAAATGATGTCATGGCTTTAGAAGCTTCTGATAGGCTAATTGACATCATTTGAGTCAATTGGAGGTGTACCTGTGGATGTATTTCAAGGCCTAAAAATGTATACCTCCACAAGTCTGGTTCATCCTTGGGAGCAATTTCCAAACACCTGAAGGTACCACGTTCATCTGTACAAACAATAGTACGCAAGTATAAACACCATGGGACCACGCAGCCATCATACCGCTCAGGAAGGAGACGCGTTCTGTCTCCTAGAGATGAACGGACTTTGGTGCGAAAAGTGCAAATCAATCCCAGAACAACAGCAAAGGACCTTGTGAAGATGCTGGAGGAAACAGGTACAAAAGTATCTATATCCACAGTAAAAAGAGTCCTATATCGACATAACCCGAAAGGCCGCTCAGCAAGGAAGAAGCCACTGCTCCAAAACCGCCATAAAAAACCCAGACTACGGTTTGCTACTGCACATTGGTACAAAGATCGTACTTTTTGGAGAAATGTCCTCTGGTCTGATGAAACAAAAATAGAACTGTTTGGCCATAATGACCATCGTTATGTTTGGAGGAAAAGGGGGGGGCTTGCAAGCCAAAGAACACCATCCCAACCGTGAAGCACAGGGGTGGCAGCATCATGCTGTGGGGTGCTTTGCTGCAGGAGGGACTGGTGCACTTCACAAAATAGATGGCATCATGAGGAAGGAAAATTATGTGGATATATTGAAGCAACATCTCAAGACATCAGTCAGGAAGTTAAAGCTTGGTCGCAAATGGGGCTTCCAAATGGAAAATGACCCCAAGCATACTTCCAAAGTTGTGGCAAAATAGCTTAAGGACAACAAAGTCAAGGTATTGGAGTGGCCATCACAAAGCCCTAACCTCAAGCCTATAGCAAATCTGTCGGCAGAATTGAAAAAGCGTGTGCGAGCAAGGAGGCCTACAAACCTGACTCAGTTACACCAACTCTGTCAGGAGTAATGGGCCAAAATTCACCCAACTTATTGTGGGAAGCTTGTGGAAGGCTACCCAAAACATTTGACCCAAGTTAAAGAATTTAAAGGCAATGCTACCAAATACTAATTGAGTGTATGTAAACTTCTGACCCACTGGGAATGTGATGAAAGAAATAAAAGCTGAAATAAATAACTCGCTCTATTATTATTCTGGCATTTCACATTCTTAAAATAAAGTGGTGATCCTAACTGACCTATGACAGGGAATTGTTACTATGATTAAATGTCAGGAATTGGGAAGAACTGAGTTGAAATGTATTTGGCTAAGGTGTATGTAAACTTCCGACTTCAACTGTAGCTATACAGTCAGGAACAACTTTTTATTTATCTCAAGTTAGTTTGTATGATATTTCTTTCATGACTTTGTTGCAGGTCTAGCTGTTGGAGTTGGCTTATTTACAACTTTTCTTTACGCGAATAAGAACATTCAAACCCAAGTCTTTCTTCAGGTAAGTCACTAACAGTAACACAATTTCTTAATTAATTTCTACATCAGTGTTTAAACACTATTCAAACCTCTGAATCTGATCCTTCATGTATCTCCTCAGGATCGTCGGTCAAAGATAGAGTGCGTATGGCTGCTCCTCTTCCTGGCGTCCTCCACACTCCTGCTTTACTACACTTTTCTCACTGAGACACTTTACTATTGGTAAGACCCTTCCCGCTACTTCACTTACCAGAGCATACCTGGGCCCAGTTTCCCCATAGCAATGGAATTTATGCTTACGAGTGTTTTTAAATGATGCCTCTTTCCTACAACGGCCGAAGATGTAACATGTGATTCCCAAAAACACTACGCAGAGAGAACGTTCGCTAAGTGCGTCGTTGAGGCATGTGTCGATACTGATAGGATCGAAATAAAGGCAGCGCTGCTCTTGGATCAGCTTTCTCCATTCAAATCTTACCTTAACATTATCATTTTTCCATAATACTGACGACGGATCAGCTCCTAGAAAGATATTATCGCCTTTGACTGCAGATATTGAGGCGTCTTATTCTAATGCTTACCCTATAATAATGCACTAAATCTAGATTTGCTACATCATTGCGCACATGTTGTTACACATCATTAAATATATTGAGGCAAAAATGTGACATTAGCCTACAATTAGCAAAATAGAAAATTGATTTAAATATTATAAATTATATAGGCCTGTAGCCTATACTGTAAGCTATTTATCTTTTAATTCAATCATCTCGGTTTAATTTGAAGCATCGTTTTATCCTTCGCTTTTTTGTAACCATTGCAAAGATATTGGCAATGTATTGTATTTGTAGTCAACTTCGTTGTGAAGTTATCGGCGGTCACAGAGAGACAGAATCAAGATGTTTATCTATGTTTAGCGGAGGCCTCCTGTTTATAAAGTGACGTGCTAAGGAAAAACGCATCTAACGACACACTTAGCTGTTCTATAACTAGCTTTTTCAAGTGCAACTTTAGTAACAGCTCAGAGATTTAACAATGCTCCTTTGAAGCCTTAAGATTATTTTGGGAAACCGGGCCCACAATAGAATAGGAAAACCTTATTGGATACACAATGTGGACATTTTGCGAATGACATCATAGTGGCATAATACACAAAAGAGGCAGACATTAAAATCATCAGGAGCATAATATTGTATCCACATCTTTCTCAGCCTCATCTTCCTGAGCCCGGCTGTTGAGCCCCTGGGTTTCTGGGAGGTCCTATGGGTGGTGGGCGTCACCAACTTCACACTCAAGTTCCTTATCATGGGGTTCAAGTGCCTTATCCTACTGCTGCCCTCTAAACTGGTGACCTACAGAGCCCAGGTAAGGAATAAATACAATACATCTTTATTGATCCACTATACAATTGTAAATTTTTCTGTCACAGATGGAAGGATGCTCTCTCCAGTTGTGTGACTACTAGTAGGCTCTGCTCAGTCTCTTGTCAGATACAGATGACAGATGGATCTAGTCTCCACTGTGGAGGACTAAAATAGAAATCACAGCACTTGTCAGTAGACATACAGTGCATTCGGAAAGTATTCAGACCCCTTCCCTTTTTCCACATTTTGTTACGTTACAGCCTTATTCTAAAATTGATTAATTAACACATTTTCCTCATCAATCTACACACAATACCCCATGATGAGAAAGCGAAAACAGGTTTTTAGAAATGTATGCAAATGTATAAAAAAAACAAAAAACGTCTTTACATAAGTATTCAGACTCTTTGCTATGAGACTCGAAATTGAGCTCAGGTGCATCCTGTTTCCATTGATCATCCTTGAGATGTTTCTACAACTTCATTGGAGTCCACCTATGGTAAATTCAATTGATTGGACATGATTTGGAAAGGCACACACCTGTCTATGTAAGGTCCCACAGTTCAAAGACCATGCCATGAGGTCGAAGGAATTGTCCGTAGAGCTCCGAGACAGGATTGTGTCGAGGCACAGATCTGGGGAAGGGTACCAAAAAATGTGTGCAGCATTGAAGGTCCCCAAGAACACAGTGGCCTCCATCATTCTTAAATGGAAGAAGTTTGGAACCACCAAGACTCTTCCTAGAGCTGGCAGCCCGGCCAAACTGAGCAATCGGGGGAGAAGGGCCTTGGTCAGGGAAGTGACCAAGAACCCGATGGTCATTCTGACAGAGCTCCAGACTTCCTCTGTGGAGATGGGAGAACCTTCCAGAAGGACAACCATCTCTGCAGCACTCCACCAGTCAGGCTTTTATGGTAGAGTGGCCAGACGGAAGCCACTCCTCAGTAAAAGGCAAATGACAGCCCGCTTGGAGTTTGCCAAAAGGCACCTAAAGGACTCTCAGACCATGAGAAACAAGATTCTCTGGTCTGATGAAACCAACATTGAACTCTTTGGCCTGAATGCCAAGTGTCGCGTCTGGAGGAAACCTGGCACCATCCCTACGGTGAAGCATGGTGGTGGCAGCATCATGCTGTGGGGATGTTTTTCAGCGGCAGGGACTGGGAGACTAATCAGGATTGAGGGAAAGATGAACGGAGCTAAGTACAGAGAGATCCTTGATGAAAAACTGCTCCAGAGTGCTCAGGAACTCAGACTGGGGCGAAGGTATACTTTCCAACAGAACAATGACCCTAAGCACACAGCCAAGACAACGCAGGAGTGGCTTCGGGACAAGTCTCTGAATGTCCTTGAGTGGCCCAGCCAGAGCCCGGACATGAACCCGATCGAACATCTCTGGATAGACCTGAAAATAGCTGTGTAGCGACACTCCCCATCCAACCTGACAGAGCTTGAGAGGATCTGCAGACAAGAATGGGAGAAACTCCCCGAATACATGTGTGCCAAGCTTGTAGCGTCATACCCAAGAAGACTCGAGGCTATAATTGCTGCCAAAGGTGCTTCAACAAAGTACTGAGTAAAGGGTCTGAATACTTATGTAAATGTATTATTTGCTACAATTTCTAAAAACCTGTTTTTGCTTTGTCATTATGGGATATCGTGTGTAGATTGATGGGGAGGGGGGGGGACGATTTAATCCATTTTAGAATAAGGCTGTAACGTAACAAAATGCGGAAAAAGTCAAGGGGTCTGAATACTTTCCGAATGCATTGTAGGTTCTACCAGCATTTTGGGGGCCCAAAAGGTATGGAGAGAAAGCATTAATCTATTGCCTTTCTGTCTGTCCCCAGGGGCGGTGGTACATGCTGACTGAAGAGGTGGGCCAGGTGTACCAGGCTGTGGCTCCCACCCCGCTGTGGTTCCGCTACCTGGTCACCTACCAGAAAGTGGATGGAAACACTGGCCTCACCCTGGGAGTCCTGCTGGCTCTGGTCTACTTCATACTCAAGGTGACTGACCTTATGACTGCACCACACTGCATTTATCAAAGATGTATGCTTCGAAGTGGATTCTTAGTAGTGGAAGTTGTGAAAAAAGTAAAGGCTACATTTTTTCCCCCACCTTTGTTTAAATGTACTTAACGCTTGCTTTTTAAATGTAGCTTTTAGGATTGTATGGACAGTGGGGGTCTTTCCAGAAAACAGTGAGGATATTTCTAAGTGGTGAGGTACAGTACTTTAAATACATCAACATGTCAACTTTTTCCTTAGTGGTGGTATGTGGGTTGACTGACAAGTAACTACTGTCTAATCTTGCTCATGTGTAGATCATGTGTATCATGTGAGTATAATGCCGACACTTGTAAGAGTTTGGATCAGTGTTGACTGTGTGGGTTGTAAATATGTGTTGTTCCTCCTCCTCAGCACACGGGGGCAGCAGCCACCAGGAGCCAGTGCAGTGAGGCTGGGGACATCTGTCCTATCTGTCAGGCAGAGTACAGAGACCCAAGGGCCCTCCTGTGTCAGGTAAGATGCACAACTCATCCATGGGACAGCAAACACTAATATTACTGACTTTTCTTTACTCCTACTATGTAGTCACACATACAAGTTTGATGATTTCAAAATTCCATCCACACAAGAGGATACTCATTGTGTTCCTTTTGATACTGAGCATGGTTGGATAAAGAATACCTGTTTATTCTCTCTCTCAACAACAGCACATTTTTTGTGACGAGTGCATTGCTCTCTGGTTCAACCGGGAGAAGGTGTGTCCACTCTGCCGCACGGCCATCACAGACAAGGTCCACAAGTGGAGGGACGGGGCCACGTCACCTTACCTCCAAATCTACTGAGAGAAGGAGACACTGTTTGCGATGTGTGAATGACAGTTGTATTGACAGCTATACTCCACTCCTCATTGGCTTGTGAAGCTGATGACCACACTGTTCCTCCATTCATTAAGGGCTGTGCCCACTACTGGCCATGTCAGTAAGGGCACATAATATTTGCAATAGGATTGGGATTCATTCAGCACCATGGCATGTTACTGTTACTGCTGCAACTCCCTCTCCGACCATCACTTTTCTACACGACTGACTGACGATAGTTCTCTCTGCATGCCCTCTAGTGCTCTTTTTAGTTTATCTGCTTTTCTTTTCAAACATTTATATTTTTTTATCAGGATGTGGAAATATTGTTTTGTTTTGACAGCCAGCCTAAAAAAAACAGAACAGACAGCCTCTTTCTTTATTAGACAGAGCTGTCAGGGAATAGCCTGGAACCACATCTGTGTTTGCCATTGACCATAGGAGTTGGCAAGACAGCACAAACTGATCTTGCACCAGGCTAGTCCGGGAATACCTGGGGGTTTCTTCTACCTGTAAATAGGGGTGGGTTCATGAGAGGAATATGTTAGAATATAGAAGTATTTCAATCAGATGTATTATATCACTACCTCCTAAATCATAACAAATGCAGACACATTTTGATCTGTGTTTGGTAGATACTCTGTCTTTCAAACACTTCTCTTCGAGTGGCAAAGGATCCTGCGTGTTGCAAAGGGGATGCCATTCTGTGTCTGATATAGGCACTCAGGCTAGTAGTGGTTAAAGATCAAGAAGGTACTCAACACCTTGAGAAACAATAACAAACACAAAGGTTGATGATATAAGAAGTTCTTAATTTTGGGGATTTGTTATTTTCCAGATGACAAATGAGATTGTGAGATTTGGTTTGATCCATAAATTATTTTTCTAAAGCGATGATGGTTACAGCCTTTTTGAAAACCAAAGAGTGGGAGAATCCATTTATTTTATTACCATATTTAATTATGTAGTGAAATCAGTTCATTTTTTATCTTGCATAAAGTCATTCAATCAACAAATGAAATTAAATATCAAATTCCTTTTCTTTTCAATTATAGCCTACTAACAATTGGCTCTGGGCATTTACATTTACTCATGATATAATACACACAAACATGTTTAAGCATGTTATGAACCAACTTTGTCTTTCAGTTATTTACAACCCATTCATCTTTAAAATGAAGTGTGCAGAGGTCTGAGGGACACAGAAAAGCATCAATCTAGCCTGTTCCTGTTCACATGGACTGTTCCTAGAAGGAATTCACAGTAACATGAAACATATGTACCAGTATTATCTAATGTTCCGTTAGGACTGCCATAGAAGTGGACTGAAGGCATATATACTGAACAAAAATATAAACGCAACCTGTTAAGTGTTGGTCCTATGTTTCATAAGCTGAAATAAAAGATCCCAGACATTTTCCAGATACACAAAAAGCTTAACTCAACTTTTGTGTGCAAATTTGTTTACATCCCTGTTAGTGAGCATTTCTCCTTTGCCAAGATAATTCATCCACCTGACGTGTGGCATATCAATACGTTGATTAAACAGCATGATCATTACACAGGTGCCCCTTGTGCTGGGGGCAATAAAAGGCCACTCTAAAATGTGCCATTTTGTCACATCACACAATGCCACAGATGTCTCACGTTTTGAGGGCATGCTGACTGCAGGAATATCCACCAAAGCTGTTGCCAGAGAATTTAATGTTAATTTCTCTACCATAAGCTGCCTCCAATGTCGTTTTAGAGAATTTGGCAGTACGTCCCAACCAGCCTCACTTGCGGGATCGTCTGAGACCAGCCACCCGGACAGCTGATGAAACTGAGGAGTATTTCTGTCTGTAATAAAGCCCTTTTCTGTGGAAAAACTGGGCCTGGCTCCCAAGTGGGTGGGCCTATGCCCTCCCATGGCTGCGCCACCTGCCCAGTCATGTTAAATCCATAGATTAGGGCCTAATTTATTTATTTCAATTGACTGATTTCCTTATATGAACTGTAACTCAGTAAAATTGTTGATATTGTTGCGTTTATGTTTTTGTTCAGTATAGTTGGGTGAGTTCACATCTATTCAGGTACAGTGACTGTCAGTTTAGTTTGGATGTTCTTAAACAACCATGTTTTCTGTGCATAGCTCTTTGAGGCACTGCAGCCAATAACTAGGCTTGGGTAAAGGCAACCTAGGGCCAGGATTCAATATGTACCGCAGAAGATCCGTGCTGTAGCACGGTTGACATTTAAAAGGTAATCTCAGATTCAGCTGACATCTGCAGTGCAATGTAAGTGAAGAATTTCAGGCTTTTAAAATCAGGATTTCCCATGACAATTAAAACTTTCACTGCAGAATTTGTTTTCAAAAACACAGCTTGATATTTAGCACAACTAGATGGCCACAACCATACTTCCCTTAAGTCAGTGTTTCTTTTGCCCATTCCTGTGCAACTGCTGTTATGAGTTGAGCAGTAACTTTGGGGTTGCGTAATCCATCCAGGTTGCACTATACTCACTTTCACAGGGTTCAACTCAGTAATGCTTTTTATTTTGTTGGCATCCATCCACTTACATATTACAAATCAAGATCCAAACCCACTGAAATGTCAAGGAATAAATATATGGGTGAAATATTGACTCTGCTTAACTGTTTGCAGCACTCTTCTAATGAGTTGATCAATCATATTCCCAAAGGCTCACTCATTTTATTTCAGTTGAACACTGAACTATAAAAAGGTCCTCAAGCTACGAAACCACTTGAGAGAAATCACACTCAGATCATTTCTGTGTCAACAGGTTAGAGGAGCACAGAAAACCACTTCATCATTCAAAGACCCTATACCACTAGAGAAACACATGGTCCAATCATCTTCCTCTGTTTCAATTGCATTCCATACACATCTGCAAATACATACAAGTTGTAATTTCTTCAAGAAAGGCACATCCCCAACCCCACATTAGTTTTTGTATTAGTGACTTTTTTGTATTTTTCACCACACACACACACACACACACACACACACACCTAAACTGCCCATGTTTCCAACACTCTGCAGGCATCGTGTTAAAGTTTTCAGAATGAAAGAAGCCGGTAGAAGATGATCCAAAAGTTACTTTCTGAACTTGTCCCTCGTACAGATTTCTATTTTGCACCTTACCTATTCTTAGACATTTAGGACATTGTTCTTAGTTTGGAATAAAGAATTAACTGCTGCATTTTGAGGTTTCTCAAAAGAGATTCATTGGAAATAACCACATACACACAAATAAATAAATGTTAAACGTAATGCAGTCATTTACAAAGATCCATGTGTGCCTGACCTTACAACTGAATATACAATAAATACATTGTTTGCATAGTGTGACTGATGCAGTGGAAAAAATAGAATGGCACTTAAAATAAATAAATCACCATAGAAGTTGATTGTTAAAAATAGATTTAAAAGGTAAGCCATGGTCAATGTGGGAGTGAAAGTTGCTCTGAAGCACACCATACATCCTATCCAATGGAACCTGAAGCCAAAGCACTTTGTCCATTCCTTCACTGACAAGCAGACAACGGGCGGTGATAATGTATATTTTAATAAACCTCAGTCTTGGAATAGGAAATCCTTTGTCAGGATACACATTCACCCAGATAGTATTCAATTGCATTGAACAGGACTTAGGTTTGTAGAGGGCCACACACCAATCAGTCATGGGGTAGGCCAAACAGATTCCAGAGAACAAACCAAATAAACTGCCTGGTTCAAAAATCTACAGACTAGTACAATTGTTTGCTTATTGAATTAGGCATATTTTCAAGTTGATCAAATAACACACACAGTTAAACATGACCGTTCTCTTGGCTATGTGAATGTGTGAATCTGATAGATCCATGGTGGGAGGGAAACTACAGTATCTAAACTCACTGGAGCAAATATTCTGTTACATCTTCAGGCAGAAAGGAAGAATTTAAAGGTCTCAGGCAGCATGCTACCTTTATCTAGACAGAACCTTATGATTGGATTATTATTAATTTGACAAATGTTCCTGTTTGGGGAAGAGGAGGATCAAATGGCTTTTCTCCAGAGGCTCAGACAGTTAAAGACCACATACATGCATACATAAGCTTCAAGTCACACCACATTTCAAACAATCCCTAGTTAAAATGGAATCAGAGTAGAGAGGTACTATCCCCACTGATATCACCAAGGCTGCATAAAGACTGAGGTAAGCATCCATGAAGCACCTAGCCAGGTACATTATTAGACAAATGTAACCTGGCGATTGGCTAAACACTAAAAAGGCAGTGGTGACGAGAATTTGGCCTCAATGCTTTGCTTCTTTCAATTCAAAAAGACAAGCTCTCGGTTGGTCTCTGACAATCACAAATTGGCAGACGCCCAAAAAGAATAGGTCCATAATATTATAATAAACCTGCATGCATCATAATCGTGGAGAACTCATGTGGGTCATCTGAGTAAGTGACACTCGAAAAGGCCTTTAGTCAGTTTACATTCAACGCAAAAACGTACTACATACATACAGGTTTTCCATCTACCTAGAGAGATCCAGTCAGACTGGTAAAGCAGTGTCAGCATTTGGTATTGAAGGAGAAGTGGGGCAGGAGGTAATGCATTCAGCTGAAATAGTATACATTGTGTTTTTAGCTGCCCCTCCATCAGTGTCACCACACGTGGGGCGCATTCAGCAGGACACAACATTCAGATAGAAATGTGTTATGTAGAACAAGGAATCATGCCAGCTCTATTCATGCCATTTCTATCTGCAACGTTCAACAACGCTTGGCAACTGAACACGGCTCATGGTCATGTTCAGTAGGGGTCATGGAAATCTGTGTTCATTGGACGAGTTCAGGTTGTACCTTCCTGTTTCACTCAGTGTCAATACGTTTTCTACATACTGAACACGGCCCAGACATGTTCTACAAGATTTATCCTGACAGGATGTTCAAGTGACAAAGCAGAAAAAAAGGCATTGTTGATTCCATATTTTTTTTTTTAAATGGAACAATGTAATACACTATAGCAGGATAACTGAGTCTACAGTGAATATTGTGTTCTGTGTACATTGTGCCATTGTGATTGATTCCATCTACTGTATTCATCTACAATGTATTCTGTAACCCCTCATCAGCAAGTTCTAAAAAGGAAGTAGAGGCATTTAAGGGGGAATCATCTCCACACTCTCAGCCTTTAAAAGTCTATTACCCAGTTTCATTGATCAATAACGTCTTACTCCTGGTGAGGGAAAGCACTGCTGCATCAGGAGTAACACTGTCTGTCCCCACCCACCTAAAGTACAAAGCACCAGTATGTCATATGAGAAGCCAGCCCAGTGGAGCACACAGGAATCAAGCAGCAGCATCTAGCAGCACTGCTCTCATCTCTTCCTCCAGCTATACTCTACAGGGCTGAAGGAAGTAGTCAAGACCTCTTGCTGTCTGACTAAAGCTCTAATTGGTGGGAGGGAGTTCTCGCCCTAGTTCCTCCTCTCCCTAACAGGAGGCTCCTATAGTTTGTCATATCTGCTAGGGTAGAATGCCCTGTGTGGCTGCCAAGCTGCCCAACCAGGGAGAGAAGGGGAGGGAGGCAGGGATGGAAGGTGCGTCTGGAGGAGCTGGTGATCGGTGCAGACGGTACGTCAGTCATTTCTTTAATTTCTATAAGTCTTTTAAAAGAAAAAAAGAAGTGAATGGAGGAGGATTTAGGAAAGAGAAGCTCTTGATGGAGCAGTGTCATAGATTCATCTGGAGGTGCTTGGGCCGTTTGGCGTAGGGGTAGGCCTGCTTCTTGAAGGGGCCACCTGTGGTGGTGTTGCCAGAGGGCTTTCTGATAGGCAGGGGGGCAGACACCTCGGCAGCATTGGAGCCCATGTCCATCTGCTCCATACCAACCTCCATCGGCTGGTCTCCAGACCCAGAACCCCCAAGGGATGAGGTTCCAGCCTGGGTGAGGGCCCGGGGCCAGCAGTCCCCCCCAGCAAACTTCACTGGGCTGGGGGGCCAGGAGAAGAGGATACAGGGCAAGGTTAGAATAGTGCATTATAGTACTGACTGGGGGAAGGCAGACAGAATGGTGACATTTTAACAGTGAGGATAAATCCCAGTAGAACGAGTACCAGAATGATACTGGATTCAACCACTGGTTGGCAGGACAACGTCAGGTTCTACACAAACCTAGAGGAACATGAGACTGAAAAAAAAACAAAAAAAACACATACCTCACTGGTGTTCTTGGGCTTCCCAGAAACCTTCTTGGTGAGCGGACTTTTGGCTCGAAGGGGAATTTCTCCTTGATGTTTTCGAGGACGGAGGGGGCAACATACGTAAAACCCTGTGGGGAGGTTGTCACAGGGAAGATTACAGCCAAAACAACATAGGCCACAGGACTTGAGCAATGAAACACTCAAACTATATCAGTTTCCAGTAAAAAAAATCATAAAAAATAAGATGCAATGCATTAACCATTTCTCGTAAGAACAATAGTGTAGCTTCTGCCTACCCGTGTACGTGCAGCCATGCACACAGTAAAACACACGCGCACAAACACGAGACCAAATGGAATGTGCAGAGTAAGCAGCCTACCAGGAAGACTTGATTGGCACTTTCGCTGAGCGTGGAGTCATCAGGGCTGTCCACGGGAGTCTGGCTGGTGAACTTCGAGTCAAACTGGCTCACATCATCAGCTGATTGCTGCAATGGAAGGAAAGAAGGAAACCTGTTAACCTCTAGTTTCTGTGGGTCATGGAGGACTTGGTAGGCACAGGTGCTCTTCACAATGGAAATGCTATGAATAAGGAATGACGGCTCACCAGAAAAGGCTTGAATGGAGGCTCCACCTTGCGAGCGAGAAGATCATCCCAGTTAATATGCCTGAAGAACGGGTGGCTCTGGAAAACAGGACAGAATAACTTTACTTTTCCCAGAGAGAAAGCCACAATACACATGAAGGCTGCTCTTTTCACCACCTTCAACAACGTTGTAATAATCCTACAACAGGTCTGTTTTAACTGTATTACCTGGATTTCTGAGGAGTCTCCTGGGCCTGCCCCCAGCCGCAACGAGGCATTGCGTTTCAGCAGCTGGAACAGAGGGATGGGTAATGCAAGTCTGCTCCTCTGATTTCATTTGATCTGACTTGTTACATTTGACCAGGGCTCTCCAAAACTGTTCCTGGAGAGCTACCCTCCAGTAGGTTCACTCCAACATCAGTTGTAACTAACCTGATTCAACGTATCAACCAGCTAATTACTAGAATCAGGTGTGCTAGATTAGGGTTGGAGCGAAAACTATAAATTATAGTAGGTTCAATTATTTGAATTTAGTTTTTATTTTCTTTCCTCTGAGCTCAATGCGCAAATTAAACAGTTTATCTTGAGACAAATCAGATCCAGCCTAAACTGTGCGATATAGTAGGGAGTTGTAGTTTCCAACAGGCAAATATTCTACATAGTTTATTGCATAAAATGTGGTAATTAACTACAATGACCATAATCCATTGCGCATCTACTTGTCCAGTCTGTGTTTATTTTATGCCTGCTACCGAAGAGACAGATAATGAGGGGGATATAGAGCAGCTGTTGCTTCGCGAGGTATCTCTACCTGAAAATACATGATCTAAGTGATTGATAGTTGGTATTCAGCAGTCATAAAAAGGTTGCCTTATTTACTTTGAAGAACTACAAAATTGTGATTTTGTCCGACAGCAGTTCTATAGAGATGAGATGACTTGGAATGAAATAAAGTAATCAAATAAAACAAATGTAATATACACAACTGAAATATTGTATTAAAGTAAATTAATGTCAATAAATTATGGTTAATAAGTGATAAGCAGTGATGGGCAGTCACTACCATCATGGGACTTTTATTGATTGTTTTATTCTGTGTTACAGCATTCAACCCACATAATGCATAGGCATTTAATGTTTAAAAATTATTGAAAAATCTAAAACCGTTATTATATTTTAATAATCGAAACTACCTCAAACACAAATCGCTCAGCACTACAGGACGGTAGCACTTCAGGAACAGGGTTGGAGATACCTGCATTAGACAATCAGAAGGCAGAGTATACCTGAAATGCCATCAAAACACTTCTATTATTAATAATAATAATAATAATAAATAATGCCATTTAGCAGACGCTTTTATCCAAAGCGACTTACAGTCATGCGTGCATAAATGTTTTGTGTATGGGTGGTCCCGGGGATCGAACCCACTACCTTGGCGTTACAAGCGCCGTGCTCTACCAGCTGAGCTACAGAGGAAGTTGAATATTAACGCTGTGAAACCCTTACCTTTTTGAGAAGGTCCCTAGCTTCTTGTGTGAGGTAAGGTGGCAGGTTCAGTTTGCACTTTAAGATTTTGTCAATGGTCTTCTTCCTGTTTTCTCCAGTGAATGGTGGCTGTGGAGTAACATAAAAGGTATATTCAACTACAACACTGACATTATGTCCCCCTGAGGTTATACATCTAAATATTGATCAATTAAATGTTGACATTGTACAAGACAGAGTACATAAGTTTTGAATAAAATAAATGTGTCTCTTGAAAGAGGAGTTGTACTCACTGCTCCTGTCAGCATGTCGTACATGAGAGCTCCCAGGCTCCACCAGTCTACAGCCCGGTTGTGTCCACTCCTCATCAGGATCTCTGGGGCCCTGGAGAGACAGAGGGGAGGGGAGTGGGTGAGGAGGACAGTCAGGTAAGCCTATACAATTTGCAACCAAACACTAATTTCCCCTAACAAAATAGTATGTAAAGTATTGCTCTGAGGGGATGGGAAGTTTACAACAGACTGGGAGGCTGACATTAACTTTTCATTGTTTTAATGATTAGGACCTTGACTTGCATGTATTCTATGGTGCCACAGAAGGTGTGAGTAACCGTGCCGTCATGGATTGATTCTTTACACAGGCCAAAGTCTGTGAGCTTGACATGACCGTTGTTGTTGAGCATGATGTTCTCTGGCTTCAGGTCTCTGTAGATGATGCCTTTCTGATGCAGGTGTCCCAGAGCCATGGAAATCTCTGCCAGATAGAAGCTGCAGAACAGACCTTTTACATCAAGTACAGTCACAGTGTGCTGATCTTTGCCTCAGAAAATATAGCATCTACAGTGTCTTCAGAAAGTACTCACACCACTTGACTTTTTCCACATTTTGTTGTGTTACAGCCTGAATAAAAAAAATGGATTAAATTATGTTTTTGTCACTGGCCAACACATAATACCCCATAATGTCAAAGCGGAAGTTTTTCAAAATGTTTACAAATTAATAAAAAATGAAAAGCTGAAATGTCTTGAGTCAATAAGTATTCAACCACGCATGGTGAAGTTATTAATTACACTTTGGATGGTGTATTAATACACCCAGTAACTACAAAGATACAGGCGTCCTTCCTAACTCAGTCGCTGGAGAAGTAGGAAACTGCTCTGGGATTTCACCATGAGGCCAACGGTGACTTTGAAATAGTTACAGAGTTTAATGGCTGTGATAGGAGAAAACTGATGATGGATCAACAACATTGTAGTTACTCCACAATACTAACCTAATTGACAGAGTGAAAAGAAGGAAGCCTGTACAGAATAAAAATATTCCAAAACATACATCCTGTTTGCAATAAGGCACTAAATACTGCAAAAAATGTGGCAAAGCAATAAACTTTTTGTCCGGAATACAAAGTATTATGTTTGGGGCAAATCCAATACAACACATTACTAGCAATAAACTTTTTGTCCGGAATACAAAGTATTATGTTTGGGGCAAATCCAATACAACACATTACTAGCAATAAACGTTTTGTCCGGAATACAAAGTATTATGTTTGGGGCAAATCCAATACAACACATTACGGAGTACCACTCACCATATTTTCAAGCATAGTGGTGGTTGCATCATGTTATGGGTATGCTTGTAATCGTTAAGGACTGGGGAGTTTCAGGATAAAATAGAAACGGAATGGAGCTAAGCACAGGCAAAATCCTAGAGGAAAACCTGGTTCAGTCTGCTTTCCACCGGACACTAGGAGATGAATTCCCCTTTCAGCAGGACAATAACCTAAAATACAAGGCCAAATCGACAATGGAGCTGCATACCAAGAAGACAGTGAATGTTCGTGGCCGAGTTACAATTTTGACTTAAATCTACTTGGAAAATAAAAAACAATAGGCAAATGTTTCACAATCCAGGTGTGGAAAGCTCTTATAGACTTACCCAGAAAGACTCAGCTGTAATCGCTGCCAAAGCTGCTTCTACAAAGTATTGACCCAGGGGTGTAAATACTTATGTAAATTAGATATTTCTGCATTTCATTTTCAATACATTTGCTAAAATTTCTAAAAACATGTTTTCACTTTGTCATTATGGGGTATTGTGTTTAGATGGGTGAGAAAATACACTACCGTTCAAAAGTTTGGGGTCACTTAGAAATGTCCTTGTTTTGGAAAGAAAAAAAAAATATGTGTCCATTAAAATAACATCAAATTAATCAGAAATACAGTGTAGGCATTGTTAATGTTGTAAATGGCTATTGTAGCTGGAAACGGCAGATTTTTAATGCAATATCTACATAGGCGTACAGAGGCCCATTATCAGCAACCATCAGTCCTGTGTTCCAGTGGCACGTTGTGTTTGCTAATCCAAGTTTATCATTTTAAAAAGGCTAATTGAACATTAATTCCTTTTGCAATTATGTTAGCACAGCTGAAATCTGTTGTGCTGATTAAATAAGCAATAAAAAAAACTGGCCTTCTTGAGACTAGTTGAGTATCTGGAGCATCAGCAATTGTGGGTTCGATTACAGGCTCAAAATGGCCAGAAACAAAGAACTTTCTTCTGAAACTCGTCAGTCTATTCTTGTTCTGAGAAATGAAGGCTATTCCATGCGAGAAATTGCCAAGAAACTGAAGATCTCGTACAATGCTGTGTACTACTCCCTTCACAGAACAGCGCAAACTGGCTCTAACTAGAATAGAAAGAGGAGTGGAAGGCCCCGGTGCACAACTGAGCAAGAGCACAAATACATTAGTGTCTCTAGTTTGAGAAACAGACGCCTCACAGGTCCTCAACTGGCAGCTTCATTAAATAGTACCCGCAAAAAGAAAAGATTTAGATGGGCAGTCTGAGATATGGCTTTTTCTTTGCAACTCTGCCTAGAAGGTCAGCATCCCGGAGACGCCAGTTTTATTGCTTCTTTAATCAGCACAACAGTTTTCAGCTGTGCTAACATAATTGCAAAAGGGTTTTCTAATAATCAATTAGCCTTTTAAAATGATAAACTTGGATTAGCAAACAACGTACCATTGGAACACAGGACTGAGGGTTGCTGATAATGGGCCTCTGTACACCTATGTAGATATTCCATTAAAAACCAGCCGTTTCCAGCTACAATAGCCATTTACAACATTAACAATGTCTACACTGTATTTCTGATCAATTTGATGTTATTTTAAAATGGCCAAAAAAAATGCTTTTCTTTCGAAAACAAAGACATTTCTAAGTGACCCCAAACTTTTGAAAAGTAGTGTATATCAATTTTTGAATTCACGCTGTAACAACAAAACGTGGAATAAGTCCAACAAGCTCTCTCAGTCACACGTCAGAATTTCATCCATGTTTGTCATTGTTCCAAACGTCAAATTTCAAAGTGTTTAAGGTTAGGTTTAGGCATTAACGGCACATTTTTAAGGTAATGGTTATGGATTGGGATAGACTTAAAACAAAAATCTCAAAAACAACTTTCTATCGCTGGATTAGAACATGCAACCTTTGGCACCAGAGGCAGACACCCTAGCAAAACCGTAACCTACTTGAAGGTAAAAGCGCCCACTGTTGCCCCTAGAGGCCATTTTCCACGTCATCTCCCGACGTCCTCAGACATGGATGGACGTCAAATTCTGACTTGTATTGCGGGTGACCTGGCTGAATAAGTCAAGGAGTATGAATACTTTCTGAAGGCACTGTATATAGTTAAAGTATGACGAAAAACCCTTCCGTCAAGCATCAACAGCAGATATTTTCACAGCCCTTTTTTTTTAATGCATCCTTTCAGATTTGCCTTTAGCCGCCCTCCATTGCCCTCGCTACATTCTAAACCTGATGTGTTGTGCTTTGAACATCATTACATTTGTCTGCTTCTAAAAAAGGCTCAACCTTATGCTATGTAATCACTACCTTCATATCCTGTCTGTTGACACATGGGAGTGAGGACTGCAGGTTCCAGACACTCATATCTATTCTACACACTACAGATACACCACTTACCACGCTGTGTCCTCCATAAAGATCCCCTCTCTTTCCAATTGCATAAACAGCTCCCCACCTACAAATTACAAATACAGCATTTAATTGAGCTTTGCCATTGTGTGCGAATGATGTGTGTTGGTGTACGCTACGCTGTGTTGTGTGGTTTGTGTATCTGTGTGTATGCGCACACACCATGCCTCAGCCACTCACCAGAGAGGTACTCCAGGATGAGGTACAGCTTGCCCCCCGTCTGGAAGGCGTAGATGAGGTCCACTATGAACGGGTGCTTCACTTCCTCCAAGATGTTCCTCTCTGCCTTGGTGTGAGCCGTGTCCTTAGCGTTACGCACTATCATGGCCTGGAGGGATCAAACAAGGCTTGGATTGTCAAGCACTGTCAGCATTATAACAATGGTAGCACTTGACATTCACAGCAGAGAACAAAGTGGTAATAACCTGGTAATAGTAGTTAGTCACCCCAAATGAAAAACATTTCTTACACATAGGAACTGAGGTATGATATGCATTTGAAAAGTAACACTACTTTACACTAGAGGAAATTCTTTATCAAGAAGGACACACTATGGTAGGTAACGGACTACCGGTTCCAGAAGTTCTGAAGACATAACAGCGTGAAGAAAATGCTCATTTGGGATCTGGTTTAGATGACTATTTCGCTGCTCTCCCTTTTTCCCCAGCCCAGTGTAAGTGAAGGGAGAGAACCTCCTCTGCTCTGCTCTGAGCCATTTCATTAATGCCGTTATCTTCGCCCTCAGGTCCAGAACACTTGCAAATCTTGTTGGCTCAAAGAAATCCAAAACATTCAAACTACACTGAACAAAAATATAAAAACGCAACATGTAAAGTGTTGGTCCCATGTTTCATGAGCTGAAATAAAAAATCCCAGAAATGTTCCATACGCACAAAAAGCTTATTTCGCTCAAACTTGGTGCACAAATTTGTTTAAATCCCTGTTAGTGCGCATTTCTCCTTTGCCAAGATAATCCATCCACCTGACAGGTGTGGCATATCAAGAAGCTGATTAAACAGCATGATCATTACACAGGGGCACCTTGTGCTGGGGACAATAAAAGGCCACTAAAATGTGCAGTTGTGTCACACAACACAATGCCACAGATGTCTCAAGTTGAGGCAGCGTGCAATTGGCAAGCTGACTGCAGGCATGTCCACCAGAGTTGTTGCCAGATAATTGAACGTTCATTTCTCTACCATAAGCTGCCTCCAATGTTGTTTTAGAGATTTTGGCAGTACATCCAACCGGCTTCACAACCGCAGACCACTTGTAACCACGCCAGCCCTGGACCTCCACATCCGGCAGGATCATGGGGGGGTGCTGAGGAGTATTTCTGTCTGTAATAAAGCCCTTTTGTAGGGAAAGCCTCATTCTGATTGGCTGGGCCTGGCTCCCCAGTGGGTGGGCCTATGCCCTCCTAGGCCCACCCATGGCTGCACCCCTGCCCAGATGTGAAATCCATAGATTAGGCCCTAATTAATGTATTTCAATTGACTGATTTCCTTATATCAACTGTAACTCAGCAAAATCTTTGAAATTGTTGCAAGTTGCATTTATATTTTTGTTCAGTATACTGCATTTCAGGCGTTGGGTACAATAGTAGATCTGTTTCAGTTGGATTAAGCCTGAGCCCTGTGGCAGAGCTAGAAGCCAGAGCATGAGAGCAGAGCACAGTCGGTCATTAGCGTGAGGCTCTGTGCCTACCGTGCTACACAGCCACTTACAACATGCAGAGTGCTGGGTTCTGACACAGATTAAGTCAACCATGCTAAACACCAATGCTGGGACATGTCTGCTGCACACATAAGAGTTTCCATAACCTCGTCCCAGGCTCAATTGCTACCGCATATAGAGCCTGGAAACACTGCAACAAAGTGGGACTTGAAGGGGGCGTTTATTGAAATCAAGGCAGGAGAGAGAGCCTGCTACAGGTGTAGGCCTATTAGATGGGACTTCGAAATATTCAGAAAATCGGCAATCAAAATAAATGTTCTCTCACAGCGACTATATTATTTTTGTTAAACCCAATTGATTCTGAGTTTGGGCATAAAAGGTTTATGTGAAAACTATTTCTAAGATGCATACTCTCCGATTTCCCAAACTCGCTTCCTTGGTTAGCTTAAAATCACTTGTGCTGCTCGCACTTTGAAGTCCAAAGGGGTGGTTCTGAAGGTTATGCTAGATGGTGATGTACAAAGATCTTGGGTTTCATTTGGCAGTGATGATGGCTGCTGGTTGGCTAGTTAAACACCTTCATCCTCAGTAACAGATGTAGAATAGGAATCTGAGCTCTTAGCTCCTGCATGGTAGCAACAGTAAATACAGACTCATAAAAACTATAAACAGAACAACTATTACCAAAACCTGTAATGCTTCTGGGAAACAGAGGTGGGTTCTGGGGCCAAGATGCAAACCAGACGGGCGGTCGTCAATTACAGAAAGGAGGCCGAGCAGATGCAAAGAAAAGGGGGAAAACAAACAGCCCTGAGGATTCATGGTAAGTCGTTTCAGTAGATTTTTTGAGTTATGGGTTAGACGGCCTCACTTCTGACTGCGTGCCTGAATGAATGCACCGGTGCCTTCCGTATACTACTGTAACAAAAGGGTCAGTGTCCAATCTGGGCTCATTGTCATGTCAATACTTAGAGAATAACTCTAGAATGAATATCACAGAACTTAAGTGTGCAGTTCCTTAGGGGCAGACGAGAAAACAAGATAAGTATCTCAACCTGATGATAACCCAAACAGCCCACCTTCTTCAAGACCTTCATGGCGAAGATCTTTCCCGAAGTGGCACCCAACATCTTACGAACTTGAAAAACCTGAATGTGATTGGGGGAAAGAAAAAACATTAATTTCACTGAATTGATGCAATCTATTCTAAAGGGAAGACATGGGAATACTCACCTTTCCATAGCCTCCTTTTCCTAAAACCCGGAGCAACTCAAAGCATTCCGGACGAATCTGCTCCGTTCCTTTGTTGACGCTGTCTTCAGAGATTTCAAACTTTTCACAGTCATCCATGTTACTTGAAAAATAATAATAAAGACAACCGTAATTCACACGTCAAATACACTTCATTGCAGTGAGTCAATGTTGAATCGACCTGAATGACAAGTCCTGCACAGTCAACTTTATCTGAGGTGTTCTATCATCTCAATTGTCCTGTATCTGTTCATCAAAGCATACATCATAAAAATGATTTAAAGTTTTCCTGTAATTGACAAAAATCTGATTACACCAATCCCTGTAGGGCAATTATATTGACACCTAAGACAAAACATAAAAACACAGGATAACATGACAAAGAAGAATAGTGTGGTCAAACGTGTTGTGGTAAGTGTGCCACAATAGCTTGAGTGCCAAAATATACAGGCTGAACCTATGTTGTAAATACTCACAATTCGAACCCGCTGCATTCGCTCATTTGGATCTAGCAAAAAAAAAGAGAACTTAAGGCCAGGCCCCACAGGCTGAAATGATTTTTTGCATCTACAGTGCATTCGGAAAGTATTCAGACCCCTTCCCTTTTTCCACATTTTGTTACGTTACAGCCTTATTCTAAAATGAATTCAATAAAACAATTCCTCAATCTACACACAATACCCCATAATGACAAAGCAAAAACAGGTTTTTAGAAATGTTTGCAAATGTATTAAAAATAAAAAACAGAAATAACTTATTTACATAAGTATTCAGACCCTTTGCTATGAGACTCGAAATTGAGCTCAGGTGCATCCTGTTTCCATTGATCATCCTTGAGATGTTTCTACATCTTGATTGAAGTCCACCTGTGGTTAATTTAATTGGACGGACATGATTTGGAAAGGAACACACCTATCTATATAAGGTCCCACAGTCGACAGTGCATGTCAGAGCAAAAACCAAGCAGAGGTCAAAGGAATTGTCCGTAGAGCTCCGAGACAGGATTGTGTCGAGGCACAGATCTGGGGAAGGGTAACAAAAAATGTCTGCAGCATTGAAGGTCCCCAAGAACACAGTGGCCTCCATCATTCTTAAATGGAAGAAGTTTGGAACCATCAAGACTCTTTCTAGAGCTGGCCGCCCAGCCAAACTGAGCACTCGAGGGAGAAGGGCCTTGGTCAGGGAGGTGACCAAGAACCCGATGGTCACTGACAGAGCTCCAGTTCCTCTGTGGAGATGGGAGAACCTTCCAGAAGGACAACCATCTCTGCAGCACTCCACCAATCAGGCCTTTATGATAGAGTGGCCAGACGGAAGCCACTCCTCAGTAAAAGGCTCATGACAGCCCGCCTGGAGTTTGCCAAAAGCACCTAAATGACTCTCAGACAATGAGAAACAAGATCCTCTGGTCTGATGAAACCAATATTTAACTCTTTGGCCTGAATGTCAAGCGTCACGTCTGGAGGAAACCTGGCACCATCCCTACGGTGAAGCATGGCGTGTGTCTCCTGAGTGGCGCAGTGGTCTAAGGCACTGCATCGCAGTGCTAGCTGTGCCACTAGAGATCCTGGTTCGAATCCAGGCTCTGTCGCAGCCGGCCACGACCGGGAGACTCATGGGCGGCGCACAATTGGCCTAGCGTTGTCCAGAAAAATGAATTTGCGTGGTATGTGCATATGTAATGAGATCGCCTCATTTGCATATTTTAATACAAAAAAGTATTTTATTTGTGTCTACATTTAACTGGTATTCAGTTGATAGTGATGATTAAGAAAAAACATTTTACAGCACCTAATGGTACTCTAACTGGAACAGGTGTATTATTGAAGTTGCTTCCTGATGGAGAAGGATCAGTCCTGTTAAGGCCAGGCACCACACCCTAATAGGGATTTTTTCCCCTCTTAATCATATCACAATCAATTACCAGTTTAATGTAGACACAAATAAAATACTTTTTTGTATCTCAGAAATAAAACTACTATTTGCTACTGTGTATTCAGAAGGGACTTTTTTGATTGCATCTCAGTCTAGTGACAGACAGCTGCAAAAAAAACTACCTAATGATTCTAAAATAAATTATGTATGAAAGAGTAGAACGACTTGTTTCACTTGTCCACATCCAATGATGCCGAAATCTGATTATAATGCGCATGACAGAGGTCAGGTGGATTCATGTGTTTTTTTATTTTATCTAGACAATTATTAACTAATGCACTTCAGAAATATGTTCTGGTTGTTAAACTAATCTATCAATGCGTGTCTCCTTTATGTCATGTCTATCTAACTAAGCATGGATACTTTATTGAGAAGACAGGTAGGCCTACAATGTTTTAGTTGGTTAGCTAGCCAGCTAGCCACCAACGTCAAGTCCGCCTTGGGTTTCGCTTGCTAATGGCTAGCTAGCGCGAGTTAGTTTGCGCCTCCCTTCTTCACTAGTAGCTAGCTATAGCTACAATAACGATAGAACCTAGCTAGCTTATGTTTTGCTTGGTAACTCACCCCATCCTCGAGTTCGTCGTCAGATTCATTTTCGTCCGGCTGATCCAAATCAATGTCGAATATCCCGGCCATGGCCTTTGCTTGGTCCCTCTCTCACTCGGTGCTAATGAAAGGCTCTTCTTCACTGCCTCATGGAAACACATTCCTCGCCGGCTACAGTAGAAACCATGCTGCAGACCAAACAAAATTCCAGAGGGGTTAAATAAAACAAGCCAAGTGTTGAGCATGCGCACTGCTGAAATGAAATAGTATTATCACAGATAGAACAATGAGACAGATATTTCACTGGATGTTTAAATGTGAAGCATCCGCTTGGCGTTTCCACTCACTACCAAATATGGTAGTGAGAGAAAGCCCAGTGGCGAGCAGTGGGAGAAGATAGAACGAGATGGATTTTGGCCAATAATCTGAAATATTCTCATCGATTAAACATTTGATCTGAATACAGTTTTCTGTTCCCAAAACTACAATATGTTATGAACAGAGTGGACTAAGGTTTGTAAACTTTACCCTTTACAAAAGTTTTTTAAAATCGCGTTGTTTAGAAGACGTGCAAAAGCGAATTGAGTTATTGCATACGCGCACTTCACAGGGTAGGCGTTCCCTAACGGAAATATGCACATGATGCTAGAACGCGCCAATAGGATCTCGCTAGCTCGTGCTTGGCTCTGCCCCCTCCTTGCTTCTTCTGCCCACTATGGCTAATTTGTTCCCATTGGAAACGACAGTCTGTGGTCTATCTTGGTTTAGTTATAACATCTTTGGTATTATCACAAAGACAGTGGTCTAAGGCACTGCATCGCAGTGCTAGCTGTGCCACTAGAGATCCTGGTTCGAATCCAGGCTCTGTCGTAGCCGGCCGCGACCGGGAGACCCATGAGGCGGCGCACAATTGGCCCAGCGTCGTCCAGGGTAGGGGAGGGAATGGCCGGCAGGGATGTAGCTCAGTTGGTAGAGGATGGCATTTGCAACGCCAGGGTTGTGGGTTCGATTCCAGTATATATATTTTAAAAAATTAAGCACTCACTAACTGTAAGTCGCTCTGGATAAAAGCGTCTGCTAAATGACTAAAATGTAAAATGTAAACAAGGAGTCAGATATTTCACCAAATGTATACATCTGAAGCAATTTCCACTCCCCACCATATATGGTAAGGAGAGTATGGAGCGAGAAAAAGTTCACATCGAAGAAAAGCCCGATCTCAATACTGTTTTCTGTTCCCAAAACTAAAAACCTGTTGCGACAGAGTGCAGTAATTTTTGTTGACTTGACCATTTGCCAAAGTTTCAAAAAATTCCGTTGTTTACAAGGACTGCAAGGGCGAATTTAGTTATTGCACACATGCACTTCACAGAGAAGGCGTTCCTTAACGGTAATTAAGTGACAATGCCCTCGAAGCTGGTGTTTGAAGGATTTATTGGAACGGGTGTTGTTAGACCCGAGAAGAAGTGGAGGGCCAGCAAACCGTGCCAATATATCCTCCAAACACCGGCTTCGAGGGCATTATCACTTTTATACAACCGGTTACCAACATATTCAAATAATGATTGACATATTTTCATTAAAAACGTTATTTTGATTAATTTATTCATTCTAATATTTCCTTCCACAAGATATAGTCCCGACACAAATCTAGGCTGGTAGTTCGTTCTATCTGTTCGGTTGCCAGAGACACGACCCAGTCCTTCAGTTCTGTATCTATGGACGCGACCCCAGTCGTTCGTTCTAAATGTTCCATTGCCATACTGGTTGGCAACATTCTTATCCCTTGCTTGCTAGCTTGCCAACTACGGCTAACTTACAGTCATGTCAAAAAGTAGCTGCATTTGTTTGAGCTGTTTTCTAGTGACATTTATTTGGTGACATCCATAACAATGAGCTAATGAGGTGCGATTTCGCCTGGCATAAAAAATGTGCTCATTCATCAGGACACTGTTGTTCAGAGGAGCTAGCCAACAACACAGCAAACACAATAATAATAATAATAATAATATGCCATTTAGCAGACGCTTTTATCCAAAGCGACTTACAGTCATGCGTGCATACATTTTTTTTTTGTATATGGGTGGTCCCGGCGTTCGACCCCACTACCTTGGCGTTACAAGCGCCGTGCTCTACCAGCTGAGCTACAGAGGACCACAATCATTTTAAACTGAAGCTGGAAAGACTGCAAACGATCTGCACTTTGTTTCGTTTTACCTTTTTTCAATGGACATTTCTTTGTATATATCCATAAAAATGATGCCAGCTGATTCATGATTTCGACTAGTTGAGAAATGCTGCCTGTCTGTCTCCTCCCTACATGTTCATTACAATTGGACAGCTGGAGATCGAATTTGAATATTTAAACAATGTTGCAAATGTTGGAGAGACAGACAGCAAGGTTTATACAAATCTCCGCTGTTGAAAACTAAATGTTAGTCTAAAAGAAATGTGAGATAATGTCAGGATGCTTTTTATAATGGAGATCAAGTTTATAAATTGCCTGGCTGGGCTGATGAGACAGTGGATTGCGCAGTCAGATGGAACAGAGTAAGTAGGCATTTTAATGTTGTAGATTTAGCAGGTGGTAATTTGTCGAATAGACACCGGCTGGAATGTGGTCTTAGCCAATCAGCATTCATGATTAGACCCACCGTTGTATAATATGCAAATATATGCTAGAACGTGCCAATAGGATCTCGCTAACTCATGCTTGGCTCTGCCCACCTCCTTGCTTGTTCTGCCCACTGTGTTTCATTTGCTCCCATTGAAAACGACACAGATGAACTAACTTGGGTTAGTGGGTTAGTTATAAATATCTTTGGTAGAACAATGATACAAATCTTTGGTATTATCACAGAGTTTGTAAACCTACTATACAATCTTTGGTATTATGATAGTAGCCTAATGTCCATTATTTTTATTATTTTTAATTTGACCTTTATTTAACCAGGTAAGCCAGTTGAGAACAGGTTCTCATTTACAACTGCAACCTGGCCAAGATAAAGTAAAGCAGTGCGATAAAAACAACAACACAGAGTTACATATGGGGTAAAACAAAACATAAAGTCAAAAATACAACATAAAATATATATACAGTGTGTGCAAATGTAGCAAGTTATGGAGGTAAGGCAATAAATAGGCCATAGTGCAAAATAATTACAATTAGTATTAACACTGGAATGATAGATGTGCAAGAGATGATGTGCAAATAGAGATACTTGGGTGCAAATGAGCAAAATAAATAACAATATGGGGATGAGGTAGTTGGGTGGGCTAATTTCAGATGGGCTGTGTACAGGTGCAGTGATCGGTAAGGTGCTCTGACAACTGATGCTTAAAGTTAGGGAGGGAGATAAGAGTCTCCAGCTTCAGAGATTTTTGCAGTTCGTTCCAGTCATTGGCAGCAGAGAACTGGAAGGAATGGCGGCCAAAGGAGGTGTTGGCTTTGGTGATGACCAGTGAGATATACCTGCTGGAGCGCATACTACGGGTGGGTGTTGCTATTATGCCCCATATGTGTATTTTATTTTTAAGTGGATTTCGCCATTTTGAACATCTTTTTATATTTTCTTAGGTATCTTATCTTATCCTTCATCAGGCACAAAGGGATGTGTGTGGTATGGCTCAGAAATTAGCCATGATTGTGATACTGTAGTCAGTCAGTCACAGGCACGAATGGACTGGCATCTTCCTTCCAACAACAAGTATGATTGCACTGTGACAAAATGTTCACAGCCTTTTTCTGTATTATCACTTGATTAATTCTGATCATATTGTGTTTCGTAATCTAGCTAACCTGTAACCAGAATAACTGTTTGTGTGCGGTTTTCCTTTATCGGCTATAGATGGCAGTGAGAACAAGGGAATCCTTCTTTGGACCTCTTGAGTCTTGTAGTGATCTTAAAGTGCCAACAGGGGGCGCCCATATGGTGTTACCAAAGATTTGTATTGCTAAACTCTATTCTGTAGTTTTACAGTTTGCCTCTTAGCCTGATTCAGGTGCAACTTGTCTTCCTGTTGTAGAATAACCCACATACATGTACACATTTGTTCACAACACACACAGACTTATTCAACCAGAGGAGAAGAGGACTCGCAGGTGTTCCTCAGATGGTTGACTTTGTCTATAGGACTCAGTGCTCCCAGATTAAAGGGGCTGTGTGTGTGTGTGTGTGTGTGTGTGTGTGTGTGTGTGTGCGCGCGCGTGCGTGCGTGTGTGTATAGTGGGTACACACTGCAGTTACAACACTCTCTGCCTTGGCATGCACATTAGGATGTTTGATTAATTAGTGGTTTGTTCCAATGAGTAACTGTCTGAGACACAACTGAGTGATATGCAAACTTTGGCCAGGTTGTTGGTGAGGAGAAGTGAGAATGAAAATAATAAAAAGGATGATTGGAAGAGAGGAAATGAGAGAGGAAGACAAATGTGTTCAAATCAATAGACACGTTTGGTTTTATTTCATGAGAGACTGTGGGTGAATATGCTGTCGAGATGACTGTAGATCACAGGAGGTTGGTGGCACCTTAATTGGGGAGGACAGGCTCGTGGTAATGGCTGGAGCGGTATAAGTGGAATGGTATCAAATACATCAAACACATGGGTTCTATGTGTTTGATGCCATTCCATTAGCTCCTTTCCAGCCATTATTATGAGTCGTCCTCCCCTCAGCAGCTTCCACTGCTGTAGATGACTGTGCCAGATAGAAACAAGCTTTGTCTATCAGTAACAAATGGCTCCCTTCTATTGGCTCCCTTCTCTCTAGATTAAAACAGGGGCTTTCTGGTGTTGATACGTGTCGAAAGACAGAGAAAAAAATTATTTAACAATTATTGCAAAAGAGAATTTCCAAAATGGCTTCAAAGAAGATGAGGGAGGGGGGAAAAGTTGGACATTAATTATTTGCTCTTAGATGGTTATGTTGTCGGTTTCTTCCCTAAAAGAATCATCACAAAATCCTGATGGTGTTCTTTCTAAAGGATATGCACCACAAGGATTCAAGGGTGTTCTTTTGTTAGGTATTAGTCAGTGACACAACAACCACCAAAAATGTAATGATTACAGTTATGCAAATTATTAATTGGAGTGAATGGAATGTGGTGAGATTTGTACAGCGGGACAGAGCAGAACAGGTTGTGCCAGCCTGATGATTACCAGGGTGTGTCTGTTCTCCTCTATATTCTA